TGTGGAGTGGTTAAAGCAACACACTAGAAAACTGTTTGCAACTTTAGGCATCAAGGGTGAACTTGGGCCAGTCTCTGTCTCTGTTTCCATCTCCGTCTCTCTCTGTCTCTATCTCTGTCTCTGTGTCTGTGTCTGCAATAGGAAGAAGACAATGGTAATTCACTTCAAAAATCTTGCAAAGAAAATTCAGTTGTTATGAGTCAACATTGCCTTGAAGGCATGCACTGTTGACAAAAGTTGGGTGTATCAGACAAGAATAAAATACTATTTTGCATTGGGTTTCAAATGGAAGGGAAATTAGTATCCAGTATCTGAATGAATAGAGAGAGAAGTGGAGAGGTGCAACCAGCTTTGCCATTGTAATTCCAGTCATTCCTACTCTTCGTTCATTGGACAAACCCAGAGCCCTGTATAAGTGGCATCCAAAACTCTTCATCACAGAAAGACTATATGCAACCAAAAGCAATGCACAAAAATTGCAAATAGAGTTGGTGCATTGCAAATACTAAAAGTAAAACTAGAGTGTATTCCTCATTCCAGCCTCCTACAGGTCTAGCAATACCTGATATTCCTCATTCCAGCCTCCTACAGGTCTAGCAATACCTGAATTTTTCTTTTATTAAGAATCAATTTATATGTTATGCACTTACTGAACAGTACATAGCTGGAGCAGCATATTTATCATTTGTCCCAAATTGTTCAAAACAACCATATCTTTCAAGGTGTGGTCCTACACAAAATCCTATTTTAATAAAACTTGTTTCTAAAATCACCAACTTCCTATAAAACACTAAAACTTACTAAAAGCATCCATTAGGCAACATTTTTATGTTTGAATAATAGTAATACTGCCATTCTGGAAAAAAGTTCTTATCTACTCTCTGAAGGTTTTCTGTGGGACCCACAACTATATAATCTTAGTGTAGTGTAAATATCAATTTCAGAAAATGTCTTTGGACAGAATTTCCAGGCCTTCAGAGTGTTTTCTCACCTTCCCATTTCTAGATAAATTCACCAGAAGTGCTATTTGGCACCTGCAGTTCATCAAAAGCCTGTGGAAAGTCATTGAGTCCCATGACAGTCCTTGAACACTGACGTCAGTTCTAGAAAACATCTGTGAGCACTTCAGATTATTGTGAGGAGGAGGAGAAAATAGCCACAGAAGCTTTGATGTGGCCACCAGCATTCAGTTCCGCAATAATTATATTTTAGGCCTGTTAGGACTCAGGCTGCATATTATGACTTGTATATGTGATTTTAAAAAAAAATAAAACTAAAGTAGCTTGCTGTATTAGTAGAAACAAGGCCAGTGTATTCCTTGAAATGTGAAACTCTTGTGATATAATTTTATTATTGACAGTGGTGTACAACATAAACTCATTTATTTGCAACCTCAGTGGTCTTCTGCATCATTGTAATATTTTGGAAAAATGAAAATACAGTTTCTTTCAGGAACAGAAACATTTTTCCTCCTCATCTCTTTCTTCCCCCTCCCTCTTTTCTCTTCAGGTAAGTGTAACTGCCTGCCTATGCAATTACTCTTCTGCTAAGCTAGTCAGTTTTTTTTTTTCCAAAGACAGTTGTTCACTCCTCTCTGTGAGAGGAAAATACGGAATGTGTTTGTTAGTCTCAGCACCACCTTCACCCCATTCCCAATGGCTTGTGGCTTATGCCCCTCATACACTGAAAATTAATTTCTTTCCTAAGGAGCTTTTATAATTATGAAAGGTCCCTATGTAATTTAGAACACAGCTAGTTAGCATTTTTGAGCCAGTGAGCACCTGGGAATTTTTGAGAACCTGGTGTGGACCTCTCCACAAAATGGCTGCAATGAATAAGATATACTCATTCATCAAGGCCAAAAGGAAAATGTTCATTTAACTGAAAACAAGATATTAAGATGGTTTCTTTGCTCTACTTTACTTCCCTCCCATATGATCCTTACCATTGCAGCTTCCCTTGTCTTCCCAAAGATGCATCTTTGGGATAACTACGACCTGGATGACTGAGAATCTCCATAGACATTCCCTTGTCTTTTTTCAGGCTGGGTAGATGGATATTCAAATAATTTTATTTTCTAAGGATACCCATGCAGGATCCAGAAGCCTTTTTAAAGAAGAAATAATGCTGCTTTGCTTTCTAGCATATTGGTTGCTATTTCATTTCTTTTACAGGTAGTCCTCAACTTGAGCCCAAAATTTCTGTTGTTAAGTGAGACATTTGTTAAGTGAGTTTTGCCCCTTTTTACAGTCTTTCTTGCCATAGGTGATAAGTGAATCACTGCAGTCAATAAGTTAGTAATCCGATTATTAAGTGAATCCAGCTTCCCCATTGACTTTGCTCATCAGATGGCCACAAAGATTGTTAACTTGACCTTGGGACACTCCAACGATCATAAATATGAACCAGTTGTCAGGCATCTGAATTTTGATCACATGATCATGGAAATGCTGCAACAGTCATAAGTGTGAAAAATTGTCATAAATCACTTTTTTCACTGCCATTTTAACTTTGAGTGGCCACTTAATGAACTGTTGTAAGTCGAGGTATTATATTTTCAAAGTCTAAAGGTTAGCAATTAACATCAGGGGGCTTGCCAGAAATATTGGTAATGGTAATTTTTAGATACACAAATACGAATCAACTTTACTTTCCTTTTATAACTAGGTATCACTAATCATCAAACTGATTATCTGGACAGTAAAGTGATTATTGTAATACAGTTTCACACAAAGCCTTTCAGGAAGATACTGCAGAGTTATATAGCATTTATCTGAATCCCCTCTGCAGGGTTTCATGCAAATAGCTAATTGTAGAGAAATAAGCTTGATGGTGTGATTTTCCAGCATCTGAAAAGTCTTTGAAACAGCCTTTGATTTTTCTGGAAGAAAGACCAATTCTAAACCCTTATATCAGCACTAGCACCAATATTTATATTCTTGATATGACAGATAAACGCATTTTTAAAATGCCTGCATCCAAGTCTTCTATTGATTCCTTTCTGTGTTTACCCCTAATCTCTTTATTTCTGATGTTCAGAAATGAGTTCCCTGACTTAGGTAATCATACTAGCACCATCTGCACACAAGAAGAAAGCATCGACAGATTGGGGAAAACATCACGGTTTAGCAAAGTAAAGATAGAAAGATATTTAAAGAAAAAGCCTAAAGCTGAAACTGTGAAGCAGTTAAATTAGGACTGAGCATGCTCAGTGGTAAATGGAACACTTATTGGCAGCAGGGGGGAGGCAAATAGGGGGAAGGCATAAAGATATCCACACTGCAACAACATTGAATTCTGGTTAAACTTTATTTTTAGGAATGCTAAATTCTCAGTGAACAACCAGCTAAAAAACAGGGCACATGTGGTGAAGGAACTTAGAAGATTCCCTGATTAGCAGGATGTGTGAAATAAATCAGTATAAACAAAACTAAACATAGGTGCTCCATTAACATTTTAACTTCAATAGTTGCATTGCAGTTTAATAAAATAGATGTCAATATAATATTTGTATGTACCCCTTTGCCTAGTTTGTTCTCGGTTATTTCTGTCTCCTGGTGTTCATGGAAGAGAAGAAGAACATTTTTTTTTGTTTGCAATGCAAACTGTGCATCTAAAATGTGAGTAAGAAGAGAGCCTCAAAGTCAGCAGCATGGCTCAAGAGATTGTAAAGAAGCTTCTAACGTAGATGTCTATGGAGATTCTCAGTCATCCAGGTCCTGGTGATCCCAAAGCTACTTTTTTTTCCCCAAAAGATAACTGGATTTTGTTTTTTCCTTGAAGACATTTCGCTTCTCATCCAAGAAGCTTCTTCAGTTCTGACTGAATGGTAGGGAATGGAAGGATTTCTTCCATTCCCCATCACCATTCCTTCATTCCCACCAAATTCCGTCATATTCCCTCTCCCCTGCTATTCCCATGAAATCCTTCCATTCCCCCCCTCCACCACCGTTCAGTCAGAACTGAAGAAGCTTCTTGGATGAGAAGCAAAACATCTTCAAAAAAAGAAAGAAAGAAAAGAAAATCCAGTTGCTTTTTTTAAAAAAAAAAAGGGGGGGAAGCACCCTTGGAACTTGTACTATAGAGTTTTGTGTGACTGTTCTTGTAGAAGCTTAATACAAGAGTTATGAAAAAGATTGAAAACTGCACTTGAATCGTAAAGATTTGCAAGACAATGATGATGAGCTATTCAAAGCTCAACATGCAGCCACAATTGACCCCAACATTTCTGTTGCTAAGCAAGATGGTTGCTTAGTCAGTTTTGCCCTATTTTACTACCTTTCTTGCCACAGTTGTTAAGTGAATCACTGCAGGTGTTAAGTTAGTAACACGGTTGTTAAGTAAATCTGGCTTCCCTATTGACTTTGCTTGTCAGAAGATCGCAAAAGTTTATCACATGACCCCAGGACATGGCAACCGTCTTAAATATGAGTCAGTTGCCAAGCATCTCAATTTTGTTCATGTGACCGTGGGGTTTCTACAATGGTCATAAGTGTGAAAACCGGTCACAAGTCAGTTTTTTCAGTTCTATTGTCAATTTGAACAGTCACTTAGCAGACTGTTGTAAGTGAAGGATTAGGAGTACTTTGTCCAAGGCTGTTGCTACAGAATCTCTTTCTCTTTCTTGGCAAGTTTTGCAACAGCAGCATCAGAGACTGCTACCAATGTACGGGAAATAAATATTCCTTTATAAAAGAAAAAAAGGTGGAAAGCATGTCAACACAAAACTCTTCTTCACGGTGATATTTTTCTTGTTTAAGAAAGAAAAATATCAGACAGAACAGCTTAACTATTGCACATTGAAAAATTGCAGGTTTGCGGATGTTTATGTCTTTCAATAAAATTCATTATGTGAAAAGATGCTACCAGTCTCTTCTTAATTTGTGTCTACCGTAAAAGGTAGATTTATTTTCAGCTCAGCCACCTAGTGACTGGGAATAGCTACGTTCTTACATATAAAACAATATATTACAGTGTTGGATATTTATTGCTTCTTGCAGGACATCCTAAACAAAAGTCTTCTGTTCCAAGAAATGGATTTTCTGCAAAACCAGATTTGCAGACACGAGAGCCTGAACGGCAGTTCATCCAACAAATGAAGGACAGATGTGATGAACTAGTCAGAAAACTCAACTGTGTCCAAGAAGAACTTAAGAGAACCAGATGTGGCTTTGATGTCTTTGTTGTAACAACACAGTTTTTCTTTCAGAAGGTAAGTAGCAACAAATGGCTTCCGTACATTACCAACCACCTTTTTGAGAAATCACAGGTATTTTGTTATGGCAAAGGCAGAAGAATGTAATATTAATGTGGTTTGGTCTACATCAGTAGTTATTAGGAGAGGTGAAAAGGTAAGGAGACTCAGTTTAGAAGAAACAATTTTGAATAAGACAACAGGCCCTCTGTCATTATTGTTTAGACCAGAATGTGTACATAATCCGGGATATATTGGATGCATACCCAAAAGTACAGATCTCAACAGAATTTCTCTGGAAATTAAAAAGACCATGACAGAAGTCCTCAGCAAAGTCTTAATAGCTGTGTCTTTAATTTGTATTTCCATCAGCTGTTATAACAATATTAGGATATCAGAATTGAGTATCATTGAAGATAGGCATCTACTGGCTGCCAAGCCTGCTTTGTCCGTGTGAAAATAATGTTATTGGCAGAATATTCTATTAGTACATGAACATTCTAAATAATCATCCTGAACTTCATTTGTATGGATATTTACAAAACTGTACTTATTTGGATGACAGGCACTTTCTTCTCAATATTATATGAACGTGCACTGTTGTGCATATTCTCCAATAATCTAATAGTGTGTTTCAACCTTCTAGCAAAAAAGAGAGTCAATGTTTAAAATAGTACTGAAAATACTATTTAATATTAGATATATGAGAAGTCATCCCAGAAGAAGTGTTTTAAATGAATTACTGTGGTGTGTATGTGTGTATTCTTTCTTTCTTTTTCTTTCTTTCTTTCTCTTTCTCTCTTTCTCTCTCTCTCTCACACACACACACAGGCACACACCCAGACACATACACATGCGTGCACGTGCGCGTGCGCACACACACACACACACACACACACACATGCTCTATTGGGAGAGAATGGAAATGCAGAACTTTCTGAGTGCTCTGGCCTTGGTGCTGCACATGCTAGACATAACAAGCAGAATTACATGAATTTCTAAACATTACAATACAGCATACTCATTTTGACTGGCAGAAAATATTTTAATAAAAAATATTATTTTGAGAATCAGTGAAGAAATATTGTGGCCGGTTGTCAAGCAGCACAGTTAAACTCATAGTGAAATCTATATGTTAGATGTGATAATACTGACATCTATTGGCAATGGACTTAAAATTACATGGTAGGTAAGCAAATGATGCCTTCCTGAGCTTTTAACTTGTTCTTTTGACTGGGGTAAATTGGGCAATAATATTTAAGCTTTACAATGTTTTGTTGCAGTTATGATTGTTTTTATTGTTATTGATATTTTAACATGAAGAAGATTTACAATGGATCCCGCAGATATCAGTGCCACCACCTGTTAGGAAAGTAGTTATTCAGGATGATGGGTCAGGCAGAATTTGCCTGGTTGGAGTCAGATATTTTGTGTTGCTTGTTTGTTTTTAAAATCTCATAATTATAATTTACAATTTTCTGTACATGTGTACCATAAGGTATTTTTTTAATTCACATAATTATACAGCACTTGCTTTCTAAAATTATAAGGAACCCAATATATGTTTCATATACAACTTTATATTTACTGTAGATTATTTTTAATGTCAGATACTCTGTTCCTTGTGTCATGATGCAGTATGCCAGGGGTGTCAAACTGCCGGCCCGCGGGCCAGTTTCATCATATTGAAGCCGCACCCACCCCATTGCCAGCAATGGCAAAACCGGCCCGATACATTGTGCGACGTCACATGGCGTCACGAGTTTGACACTCCTGCAGTATGCTGTGAATAATCAAACTGTTTAAATCACATTGAAATGTTGGATGGATTTTTTTTATATGTATCTGCAATAATGGTAGAAACTTTGGGAGGCAACATATGTGAGATCAATTTTTGATTCTACTGGATCACCAATTTGTAATAAGGGTCTCTGGAACACTGCTCTGCCTCTTGTCTCAACAATAGTTTCTTCCTAGAAAAGGAAGATTGGAGAGTAGAACTGTGGCTACTCAAAATCCTTGGATCCAGGGAGGATCTCTTCAAAAGGGGACAAACATTTTTGTAGCCATTTCACATTGCTGACTCATCTTTATCTTCTAATCAAAAACTGCTGCACAATCTTCCTCAAATTTTTTATTGCTATCCCAAACTATAACTATACCATTGACTTTTTGTTGCCTAGGTGCTTAACTTTTTCTTTCATTAAATTTCATTCTGTTATTCAGTCAATTTCTGAGACCCATCAAGACTGGTTTCAATGCTATTTCTACCTTCTGGCACATTAACTATGTTATCTACTTTGCCATCATCTAAAGATTGGATAAGCATTTCTTCCATTTCTCATCCATGCCATTAATAAAACAGTAAAAGTCAAAAGGAGTCAGAACTGAATTTCCTGACATACCAATTTGTTGAGGAATTGTTTCTAGCTTTGAATGTGATTTTCAAGCCAGTTATGTGTATTCATTTAACTGATAAGTCATCTAGATCTCATTTTGTTAACCACACTATTAAGAACACTATGAGTATTTTGTCAGATACTTTAGTGAACTCAAGGCATAAAACTTCATCAACTGTCAGGCCAGGCCTGCCTATAAAACTCTAATCTTCCAGGAAAAATCATCTCCTCATTTAGGAACTATATAGTAGCAAAATGTCCTGGATGGGTTGATTCATTATAGACAAGTAAGACAAGTAAGGGACATCACCCTGCCAACAAAAGTGCGCATAGTCCAGGCCATGGTTTTCCCAGTTGCAATGTATGGCTGTGAAAGTTGGACCATAAGAAAGGCTGAGCGCAAAAGAATTGAGGCCTTTGAACTATGGTGCTGGAGAAGACTCCTGCGAGTCCCTTGGACTGCAAGGCGTTCAAACCGGTCAGTCCTAGAAGAGATCAACCCCGACTGCTCTTTAGAAGGCCAGATCCTGAAGTTGAAACTCAAGTACTTTGGCCACCTAATGAGAAGGAAGGATTCACTGGAGAAGAGCCTAATGCTGGGAAAGATTGAGGGCAATAGAAGAAGGGGACGACAGAGAATGAGATGGCTGGATGGAGTCACTGAAGCAGTAGGTGTGAATTTAAATGGACTCCAGAAGATGGTAGAGGACAGGAAGACCTGGAGGAACGTTGTCCATGGGGTCGCGATGGGTCGGACACGACTTCGCAATTAACAACAACAACAACAACAACAAAGAAGACATATATATCACATGTGCTTGCTAGATGTATGTATGTATAGATTTGTGTGTTTGTGTACCATGTATATGCATGCGTGCGTGCGTGTGTGTGCGTGCGTGCGTGCGTGTGTGTGTGTGTGTGTGTAGTGATTAAGGTGCCAGAAAAGAGGCAAGCAAACCCAGGTTCTACTTCTCATTCAGACAAAGAAACTAGTTGAATAAGATTCTTTCTCAAACTGGATTGGAAATTGAAAAAAAAATTATCTACCACAGTAATCATTACAGTCCATAATCTTCAGTGAAAAGGCTTTCATTGTGCAGTGGATAAATTTGGACTGATTCTAAACTTAAGCCTCTTCCTCTCCCCTTTTTGAATCAATTGATTTTTGGCCATTTTATTTATTTTTTTCTTCAGCCTTAAGATTAGAGTTTCATATTGTTTAGACAATGGTTCTGTCTGGTCTGGGGAAGCTCTCATTCTAGTTTCACAGCTTCATACATTACAACATTGCAATTACCTTTTAAGGGAGTTACATACAAAAGTGAAATAAAACAAGAACAAAATAGGTATCATTGAGCTGACAATATCTGATCTTAACAAATCTATATTGAGTTCTCATATTTACAGTATTTTCAAGATTGCTTCATGCTCTGTTCTAGAATCTTTCCAACTATTGATGTCAGACTGATTAGTCAGTAATTCCCTGGGTTAACATTTGGATTCTTCCTGCCATTACCATTTCACCAGTTGTCCAGAATTTCTCAATGCCTTTTTAGTGTTTGTTGGTGTAGGGTACATTTGGTTGTTTCACTCTTCTGGATCCATTTTTAAAATTTAGTTTTTGTTTAGTTCTAATACCAGAAGACAGAACAAGAAAGGGTAGATGGAAACTAATCAAGGAGAGGACCAACCTAGAAATAAGAAGAAATTTCCTGACAGACCAATTAACTGGTGAAACTGCTTGCCTTCAGAAGTTGTGGATGCTCCCTCACTGGTGGTTTTTAAAAAGAGATTGGACAGTTACTGTCCACTGTCCTGAAATGGTATAGGGTCTCTTGCTTCATCAGGGGTTGGATTAGAAGACCTTCCAATTCTCTTTATTCTGTTATTCTTTTTCTATGTCTATTTGCAAGCTGCTCACAATCAACTGAGAGTCTGACAGCGTCCATGTTGATTAAATAAATAAATAATATAAAAATATTCAGAACAGCAATCAGCAAGTTCCTTTAGTTCCCTAGGATGTAATTGATCTATCCCAGGCTCTAAAAATAAGTACTGTGCCTCTACCAGTCTCAAGCTTCAATAGAGGCCCTTAAGTTTGCTCATCACACTTAGTTGATGGTTGGTGCAGCCAAAATAGGAGCAGAATTGCTGTGTATTTTCTTCATTACTTGTTATCATTTTCCCATCTTACTGAGCATCTGATATACTTAGCATTGCCTGTTTCTTTTATTTTGAACATATCTAAAAAGTATATTTTGATATTAATAACATTCTATGCTTTGGCTGTCTTGACAAACACCTTGGTGATGTACTGACAATAATTAATTCTATTATGCCTTTCTTACTTGACGTTGCGACTGTTTTAAATGATTGGCTGGACCTGATACTGAAAGTACAACATGTTCTGGATTAAGTTGCCCTTATTTATCAAAGTTATATAACCACCCATCCCACAAGTGTAACTCTGCACAGGATACAATGAAATGTTTGCTCAGAAAGAGATGATTCACTGTATGATGTTGCCCCCAGATTGCTAGGCAAGGAATGTTCTAGCCCAGTCCTGCTCTTTCCTGGGAAAGTTGGAAGTAATTTATAGCTTAATTAGTGCTTGTTGCT